TGTATGTGAAGGTCCTTAGGGCTCCAGCACTGTTTCTTTTCAGCCAAAGAGGGCTGCCTGCTTTCTATGCTACAAAACCACATTAACACTGCCTACCAGCCACCACAAGAATAACCTGGGGGAACACATATCTGTACAAGACTTCTGAGTTTCCCTGACATTTATCTGTTTTGATTCCCTTTTATTAGAACTCTTTTTTTTTTGACACAGGGGTCCTTATGTGTATTCATACATGGATACAAAGATCCTCTCTAAAACCCCATAGAGTCACCGAAGGTCTTTAACACTGTGTGGGTTTTGCATCTGACCCTGACTGACTCTGTCCCTTACATGTCACTCACAATACTTAAGTTTATTGTAGATGTTTTCCACTGCTAAAGGAACAATCCTTTGAGCTGTTAAATTAGCTCTCAACAGAAATGGCCTCTGTGTGGTTTTACTAACAGTAATATCACTTAGATTCCCTAATAGAAACATTTTAGTACCCAAAAATATTGCTGTTCAAGATAATATTTGTCCTTTGAAGTATTTCACCACTTAATTTATGGATAAATGGACTTTCCCTAAACATATGCATTAGATTAGCCTTCGACACGCCATTCCTCCAGCACATGTCATTTACTTTGATCCCTATTTCAGTCATCCTGGATGGAATCCAGATAATTCTAAAAAGTGCTTTTTGCTGTATGAATCTCAGCTGTAGGTTTATGGTTTGATGAAGGTTTGAGGTTTAATTAAAGCACCACAATTTGCTATCTATAAAGTTAGGGGTTTGTTCCATGTATTTCCAACTCTTTCAAATGAATATTTGGTAGTAGAAGGTAATAAATTCTGGTATAAATGTATATACACATGTTTCAAAGAAAGGAAGAAATACTTCATGTTTACCTGTAGCTAATGATCTAATGCATTTGAAAAAGAAAGGACATTTTTAATGGACTAGGAAATAAATATGATGAATGAATCTCTTATCCAATACCATTTCCCCCTCTCATTTTTAGTGTTCTCCACAACATAATACATCAATGGAAAATATATTTCCGGACCATTTTGCACATTTAATAATTTCAAATTTTCTTACGAGGTTCTTTTTCTGACAGTTTATTTTTTTTTGTCTGTGAGGCTCAGCATTATCTTGTGCTTTAAACAAAAGTACTTATATTCTCTGAGAGTTGGATAGTGCAAAAAGCAGCTTGACTGTTTGGTTATATTGTCGATTTGTTACTAGTTTAGCAGCAGAAGCAATTCCCTCCAGTGCTTGTCTCTCTTCATGTTGATCTGTCAATATCTATTGTCTAATATAAAAGATGCCGAAATTGAAGGCAAATTTGAAGGAATTGAAGGAACTCTTCCACAGCTTAGTAATTTAAAATGTCTCTAATTTATCTGAATTTTCCAGAGGTATTATTAGGTTTTGTATTTGTCTTCAGAATATTTTCTAATGCTGGAACTTTGGAAATAAATTTATTTAAAAGTGTTTATTAGCAAACCTCTACAGAAAAAGATACATTTAAGCAAATGCATACTTGCATAACAACAGTTTTCCATACTTGGCCAAAGAAAAATTAACCATTCAAAATGATCAGCCTCCATTTTTACCATTTAATTGCTTACTTTAGGTTTACTTTCAATACAGCCATTACATTTTCCCCTCCTTTCTTACTATCCAGATCTCTTGTTCCTCAGCTTCCCATCTGAAGCTCTGATTTGTGATGCATCCTTTAAAGTCTTCAGAAACATGGGCATATCAGCTGCATTTCATTGAATTGGGAATAATAACAAAAAAGGGCTATTTTCTAGAACAAAAACAAAAGAAACTGTCTTTTCTGGTTCAGTTACAGAGAACAGAACACCCACTGCATATCCTACTCCAAGGCACTCTATTTCCTTTTACTTAGATGTTAATGAAGTTGCAAAATATATAGTATTGCAAAGAGCACTGGGGTTAACAGCACAGTCATTTGCAGTTAGGTTTTAAAAAGTAGATTTAAGCAAAAAAGTAGGAATAGTGGAATTCAATTAAGGAACAAGTAGAGGGTGGGGGTCTTAGCTCCAGTGTGAGGGACCCAGCAATAAGACCATCACAACAGCTAAACAAAGGCAGACCAAAGGTCTCCATAGCCCAGCAGCATGAGTGGCAGAAGATGACTTTGGAGGAGCACAAGAACACAGTGATACTAATGCACAAATACACATAATTTGTGGCAGCCTGTGGTTTAAGGATCTCTTAAACAGAGAATTATTATCAACCCACAAGAACAGTGTGTGGCAGGAGAAACAGACAGACCATAATGTAGCAACTGTCTGCTGGCCACTGGAGCCCCTCACACGCTCGAGGAAAAGGCACAGGTATCAACACAGGTATCCTGGAGGTCTCATATGTAGGGACTGTCCTTCTTTCCATTCCTCCTCCTTTTCACTTCTGCTCGTGAAAAGACACTGCCCCTCCTGCCACAATTAGGGCTTGTTAAAGACACTATGAAATCCTAAGGATGTTACCTGAAGAGTGGGGCATTGCAGCACACGCAGTAGTATATTCCTGATTCTGTGTTATTCAGATAGATCCCACTAAATGGCTTTTAAAAAGGAAGGAAAAAAGAGAAGTTAATAATGCAGGTCTTTGAAAGCTCACCATCTGGAACAAGCATGTAGGAATCAGATTCAAAACAGGAGAAAAACCATAAAAAGAAGGCTTCACAGGGGGGCTTTGAAGAACAAACATTAGCAGCCCAAAGAAATGAAGGGGAGGATGCCTTTGGATTAATAGTGAAGAAAGACTACCCCCTACCCCCGGAAACCTTGAAACCAGTCAGATGCATAAATCATCCAGGTACCAGGGACGGAGTCGTGACCTCCGAGGAACTGGTGAAATGTGCAGGATCCCAAAGACCATGGCTCTGCTATGGAGTGCCACAACTTTAAAGTGGCTCTATAGAGGGACTCTCCTCCTTCCTGCATGGTCTGGAACTCAGATCCTTATTTTATAGATATGAATTTGGGCAGTTAACTGATTTAATCCCATGGTGCATGATCCATGCATGCAGAAGTCCTGGCTCTGGGCTGTGGATGTCAGTGCTCCATCCACAACACTACATGGCCTCCATCACAGAAGGAAACAAAGTATGGGGACAAGGTAGGTGGGTGATCTGGCACATGAGGGATAACCCATCTCTTGAATGGAGTGCTATGTATAATATTTCCATGGCTAATCTATATATGGTCAAAAAAAGGAGACTACAGGACAAAATACAATTTCCCTCCCCTCTGGAGAGGCTCCACTACTGCCACACAGACTGCTGAGCTGGCAGCGAAGCATCCCAGGAAAAAACCCAACAAAATATGAAAAGAATGCAGAATGCTTTTTCATCTTCAAACCAGTCTGTGTCAGAACAAAATCCACCTCATTCAGTATAATGAGTCTAACTTTCATCAACAGGAAGGCAGGAGAAATCCTGCGAAGCAACTGAGTGGTCACATCTCCCCAAAGCAGGTTTTTCTCAGCCCAGCAGGCAGAGGAGGTGGTTTACCCTTGGACAGCATTAGTGCCTTTGCTTACCGGTTCAGTTCCCTTTTCTCTTGTAACATAGAATTGCTCCGGAGTCAATTTTTTTTTCCAGTCTGTAGCAGCACTTGCTTCAGCTTGTTTAGTCAGAGACCCTTTGTCTTCAATTAGATGTAGAAAGATAATTTGTATTATTTTTAACACCATTTTAATTTAGACTGCGTTGATGCTTTCCATCATCATCTTAGTTCTCCCCAAGTTTCTATGGGTAGACAGAGCACAGCGAGCAATTCAGGGACATGAGCAGGGGGGAATGCAGGACATTGCATCTGCTTTCCATTTGATGTGCTACATCTAGACAGCAGCTCCAGCAAAACACTTGGGAAGGCTTATAATAGAAACAGGCACCTATGACCCAAAATACCTCCCACTCTCCCTGCACAACCTTCTGTTCTGGCTTGGAATAACTGCTCGTGCAGTGCTCCTGCTCCTTCCTCATCCCCGGGTATCACTAAAAGGTTTGGAGTTTGTCTCTTGGAAACCCCCAGAAACCAGAACTAATGTTCACCTATGAGCCGTTGAAGACTAGCAACTTTCACAGGCCCCAATGAAAAGCAGTGCTAAGAAGGAGCACTGGAAGAAAGAAACACCTAGAGACCAAGAGAAAGGGGCTGTAGTTAAGTGAGGGACACACAACAGGAGGGCAGAAGTCACCCATTACAGCGCAAAACTCCAGTAACGCCTCCTGTGAGTCTGTACTCATCACGTAGAACATTTATGGTGGTATGGAATTGGCAAAGAATTAATGGATTGGCTGAAAAACAGCGAGTAAAATAGATTAATACCTTCCTAATCAAAAAGTCTGAGGTGGGGAACTACTTCCCTGCCTATCTCCCATCAGCACAGGATCTTCGAAAAAAAATCAGCTCCTGAGCGATGCTTGCCTGCACTCATCTCTTGCAATGCAGAGGTGAGATTTGGCAGGTGTGTGTGTGTGAATTTGAAAATTATAGTTTAAGCAAAAACCCCAGAGTTTAGCCGGCCAGTTCAAGACGAAAACCTACAGCGTGCTAACCGGCCAGAAGACATCGAGGACGGGGATGCCCTCCCCTTGCAGGGCAGCTCCTGCTCCTTCCCCCCCTTCCCAAGCTCCAGGCGGGGGATTACCTGTGCCTCTGGGTACCCGTGCCCCTGTGGGTCCCTGTGGGGGTAACCTGTGCCCCTGTGGGTACCCGTGCCCCTGTGGGTACCCATGCCCCGGGGATACCTGTGCCCCTGTGGATACCCGTGGGGGGCACCTGTGCCCCTGTGGGTACCCGTGTCCTGGGGGTCCCTGTGCCCTTGGGGGTCCCTGTGGGGGGTCCCTGTGCCCCTGTGGTACCTGTGCCCCTGTGGGCAGCGCGGGCGCAGCCGCCGGAGCGGAGCAGGACGAGGCGGAGGCCGCGGGTTCCGAGCACCCTCAGGGGCAGCCGCGCCGCCATGTCCGGGGGGCGGGACTGGGCAACGCGCCGGGCGCGTCTGATCGTGCGCTCAGCCTGAGCTGTCAGACCTGATAAAAGCAGCGAGTAAAGAACTCGCTTAAATGCCGATGCAGCACTTGCAGGTAAAGGTTTCGATCGCTTCTTACCGAGAGGCAAAGAGACCAGCTTAAAAAAATCAACAATCGCTGCAGCCATAAATATAACAAAATCCTGCTGAGGCGTTTGCTTGCAGCCGTTGTAGGTTGTTTTTAAGGAGAACAAGTCTGGTGCTTGCGTGCCCAAGTGCTCTTGCTGTCCTGGATGCATGTTACAGGCATTGCTCTCGCTGAGCGAGCGATGCCGAAGGTGCTGTGCTGTCTGAGGGGTACTTGTCAGCGGTGCGATTTGCAGTCACAGCTGCTTTGACTTGGTCTATAAATATACCTGTAGTAGGACATGTGTTTTAGTTTGGCCTCCTGTCCTTAAAAGGTAAACCTAAACACAAGTTAGTTTTCCAGGTTAAGCCTTCATGCTACTGTCTGCTTTTTTTCCCCCAATAGTTCCGTTTCTGATTTGGTTCATCGTTTCTGAAGGATGTGGAAGGAACTGTTTTAATTGCATTGGATAACAAAACTAATAATGGTGTTTAATAGAAAATTGCTTTCTTTCTAGTCTAGTTCTTCTAGCCTAATTCTGAAATCAAAGCTAAAAAAAAATAGTGTTGCGTGATCAGTCCTGTATATACACATTTATTGAACCGTCCTTATGTCTAAGACAGTGAGTTCAAAGGCAGCTGAGGATATCCAGCACAGCACATTATCAGTACCATGGCTCTAATTACTCCCTCTGCTTGGCTCCACAAAGTATTGCACCAAAAGATGGATATCAGCAAGGCTCGTAGATGGTTGCATTCACTACCTGCTGCAGTAGGGGAGAGAGGGCACACAGTGGGTTTATGGTTTTGTCCTGTGTAATAAGACACTGTGGAATGAAGCCACAGTACCTTGAGAAAAATCCTGGAGATGCAATGGCTGTGAGTCCTCAGGATATTAGGAGAGGAGTGCTGCTGGGCAGGGAGGAGAGGGCTTTGCCAGGGCTCTTGGTGCTCGCAGGGGGCAGCATCCGTGCTGGGGCAGAGGGACAACATTTTGCCACGTTCGGCCATTTGGGGAAGTAACAATCAAAGGTCTTTTCAAACCACTTCTCCTGTGGCATCTTATATCAGTCATTTAGCCATGCATTAGGAGGGAAATGGTACATTTTAGAGGGCCTTTGGAGAGGAGAGAGCCAGTCTGACACTCCCCCTGTTCTAGGAAATGGCTTCGGTCTGGAAAATGGTGGCAGGCGATGGTGTCACTCTGTCTCCAGTTCAACTGTGGAAGAGGCATTTCCCTCACATTCCTGGTCTTGATCTCAAGTTGTGTTTGCTGCTGAGGAGGACAGGTAATCAATGGAGTTCTCCCTGAAGTATCTGGGAAATGAAGGAGGGTGAGAGAAAGTGATTAGTCCTGAAACTTGCATGTTTTCATGTAATTGACATTGATTTAACTGGTGATTTTTTTAAAGACAAAATTAAATAAAAAACAAACCGTCAATATCTTCCTTGTGGCTGTTAAGTGTACCATCCCAAAATGCAGCACTTTTGAGGCAGTGGGAATGGAACCAACACAGGTCTGTTGCTGTGCCATTTTCCTTGGGCTGTGGAGGAGGGGAGCAGGCACCTGGGCTGTGCACCTAGGGGAGCAGTGGGAACAGAAGGAGCAGAAGGCATCAGGCACATCAGCCCAAGCTTCATCATCCCCTCAGTCACCCAGTTCATTGCAAACCACGCCTTGATTAAAATGAGGGTGGTGGTGGAAGAGGCAGATCCCATTCATCCCAGCAGCCATGATCCACATTTGAGGTGGTGCACTGGCAAAGCAGATCCTCCCTTTTTCCTTCCAGCAGAAGCCTGACCTGCATTCATCCAAACTAGCATGACAGGCCTTCCTCAAGTGGTAAACAACCCCCCTGGCTGGAGGTATTTAATTTTTCAGATCTTTGGTCCTGAAAAACCAAATCATTGTCCTGTCATGCCTGTAATATTGCCTCCCATAGTTACAGCACATACCGAGCTGTGTAGCTAGGCAGACATCCGGCCTGCATTTCTCTCCATAGACTGTTATAAAAACCAATTAGGCTGTTACTTAATTTTCCTCCCTTTTTTTTCCCTTATGCACAAGGGGAAGCAGTTAAAAGTCTCCCCTAGCTACATTATGTAAATTTTCAAGTAAATTCTCCCTGAATTGTAATTCAGCAGGTTTATTGTTAAAAATGTCACCTGACTCCAGCATGTACATAAGCTGCATCCAGGGAGAGGTCACAAAATGTCCTATTAGATGTGTGTAGATGGGGGAGAAGCTTCTCAGCACCTCCTGTAAGTGTTACTCTGTGCTGAGGCAGCAGCAGCAGTGTGTGTGTGGGTGGGTGAAGGCGAGAGTAGGAGGGAAGCAGGCACGGTCCAGACTATCCTGCTAATATTTATTTGGACTCTAACCACTTCCCAGTCCAGGCTCTGTCTTGACTGATGGCTTTGGGGACAAGCAGAGCATCACATAATGCCTACGCTGGCAGATACTGAGCAGTCAGCCAGGAAGCAGTGAAGTGAAGAAGTCAGATGAACCCTGCTCAAATTCAGACCTCTGCTTACGCAGCTTTTGTTAATAAAGCCCCTCGACATTATTACGTATGGAAGAAAACACTGAAACTGTAGTGTTTTTATTTTGTATGCATTTGTATGCAATCAGTTTTCTTCTGCTCACTTTATCATACTTAATGTATGTCCCCTCCCATGAGATGTTCCCATTGAAACACATGGGAACTCAACATGCAAGAATTTATCTTGGATCTGTCCTATGTAGTGATACTGTGTGCCCAGGTCTCTGGGGAATGAGGAACAGGGGACTGGCATGAGCCCTTCGGGGGTAGCTTGTATCTGTCGTGGGCTCCATTTTCCCCCACAGAATCCTTAATGCTTTTGCAGGAACTCCACATTCTTCCTCAGCAGAGTCTTCCTTCTGCTCTAATAGACTTGATACAACTGCACAGCCAGTTCCTAGCCACTCAGGTGTGATGAAAACTCTGAGGTCTTGGTATGTGGAGATACTGTTTTCATATGCAAATGCTATCCAAAGATATGTGGTAATGCTCTGGTGCTGAATTCCAATGATGGAGAGGGATTTCAGCAAAATTTAAAGTGTCAAAGCACCTCAGAAAAGGGTATTGCTGGTTTCCAGAGGCACAGAGAGACTGAACAGAGCTCTGGACCTCCCTGAAGCTGACACAGGGATTCTGCTTAGATTCATTTACAGAGTAGTCTGATGTGATTCAGGCAAAGTCATCATCAGAAATAATGAACACACAACTTCTTGCTTTGCTTGCTTTATGGTTTAATATATCTTTTTGCTAATTATAAGTTATAGGATACCTGATTATTCTGACCTTTGTTTTTAGAAAAAAATAGGTGGACTAGCTTAAGCATGAGCCTTCTGCAGGAGTCTAAGGGTGGAATTTGAATAGAACAAGATAGAATAGTTCCAGTTGGAAGGGACCTACAGGTTTGGTCCACTGTGACAAATGCTTTGAGTTGGATTAGACCAAATGCCCTCCCTAGGTCCAGTCCATCATAAATTATTCTAGGATCCTAAATGTTTTGAGAAGTGTCTTGCAGAACAAGCGAAGGCATGAATTCAAAGTGAAATGGATATTTTGCAACCACTCCTTGTTAGAGAACTCTACTCTGCAATTGGGCCATTGGTTCAGCTAAAAGTAGACACACAGGCCTGTATGGGCTATGTGTATCTGCAGGAGCAGCTATTGGGAAGCAACAACTCCAGGCTATTTCCCTGGATTGCCCTATGCATCCCCTGTATCATACCATCCAAATTTCTCGAACCACATAGACAGCGATAATACATTCCACAGTCTTGTGTGTGATTTCCTATCCCTTGTACCTCAAGGTAGTGAAGAAGTGGGATGGTTCTTCCACCCAGTACCCAAAGCCTGAACAGACCATCGAACGAACAGTTATTTGGCAGCATCTGCCATAGCAGCAGCTTTCTGTAGGTTATCTTAATGGATTTATCACACCCTGAACTAAGCCCTGACCATCTGTTCTATCCTCTCATTACAAATGCGGAAAAAGCTCATTCATGATTGCATCATAAAAAAAGTAAAATATAAAGGATTTAATGATTATATAAATGATTAAAATTTAATAATTTTAAATGTCATGCTTCACACTCTGATTGGGGAAGTGGCTCTCTTCAATAGACTGACTTCCCTGATAACAGAGTTTGCCTCTTTCCCAGCAAACGGGAATTCCTGAGGAAAAGGTCTCACCAGAACAAGTTTTATTCCCAGTCATTCATCTTAGATGTATTTTTAAATCTGGGATTCACATAAGTGAAGTTATGAATCTTCTTTCTTTCTGTCATAGGTAAGCCCCCAAGTTTATTTTTAATGAATTTTTTATTCAGGGAAAGGACAAAATCATGTTCTTTAAAGTCTGCCCAAAGTCTGCATTTCCTCCATCTTACCTTCACTTAGATGCAGGCACTTCTGGAAGAGTCACCCACTGGTTTTATGCTGGTGACTCACCTTCACTGTAGTGCTCTTGGTTAGAAGATAAGCAGAAAGCAGGAGGCTGTGTGTGCATTCCCTGCTTTCGAATGACCTTCAGATCTTTTGTACTGCCACTGTCCCACCAGCAGCAGGAATGGTTTAACTGGGAATTCAAGTTCTGATTGACTTGTGTTGTGAGAGTAAGACCTCTTGGCAGCACCTGTCCTCTGGAAATGTTCTACTAAAAATGAATGTATTTGAACAAGTTAAGAGGTCAAGAAGTAATATCTTGGTCCTATATTTTTTTATGTGGAACATCCTCCTGAACCAGCACCTCTTACCAGTGTGAAGTGTTGTGCCCCGGGTCTGCAGCAGCTTCAGCAGAGCTTTCAGCACCCCTAAAGGCTGTGACCCAGCTTGTGGGGGAGTTTGATGGGGCACTTGAACACACTGCCAGCTTCCTGCGAGAGACACCTGCCTTGTGGCCAGACAGGAAGGCTGAACTTGCCTCTTGATTTCACTAGGGAAGGAGTTATGGAGTAACAAACAGGACTGTTGATAAAGTACATGGATAGTGAAGGGTGAGAAATATCTCAAAATTAATTTGGTATCTGTGTTTTTGGAGGCTGTTTTGTTTGGGTTTTATTTTCCCGGTTATATAAAAGCAGATTGTGATTTTATCAAATGGATGTGTGATTCGAAAAATAAGAAACGTATTAAGGTAGAAGCAGTGCAAGAGACTCTAGTTCAAAAAACTGCTTAAGGGATGTGCAGGTACACAGTGTGCAGTTCTGCACTACCTGTGTGCCTTAAACTCATTCTTTTAGCAGTACTTAAAGATTCAGTTAAAAAAATTGGTCACCAATTGTCTGTTGGAAAAACTAGCATTCTGTTCTCAAGGCATGAGCTGGTTTTCCATTTCATGAAAATGGAGTTCCTGGTGGCAATGTGGCCCAGCATATCCTGTTCCCACAGAAACAGGAGTTGGGTTTCATTTTCAGGACCTATCTGAACAACTCTGAGCTGAGCAAAAACTTCTCCTCCAGATTCATGTGATATAAAGACTGGCCAGGTCTGCAGGGACAACTACTTCTGTGGGAACTTTAGGTGAGGAGCCTTTTAAAAGACAGAGAGTACTGAGTCAATGCTGCTGTGATAAATGTTTTGGTCCATATTTGCTCCACAGGAAGAGGGTAGAAAGGATCAGAGCAGGCTTTAGGTTTCACCTAATGTATAGTTCCACACCATACTGCCATTCATCTAGCAAGGACGATTATGGTAGGTCATGTGCTAGCACATTTGTTAATGTGTTGCTTTAATTTTTGAGTGGCAAGCAAAGATACCTTCCCACCCACCTAATGTTCAGCAGCGTTTCAGTATCAAAACTGAACACAGACCTGACTGAAACCTGTACTGCTGTTTACTGCTGAATTTCTGTGGTCAGCAAATACACAACAAGTGGCAACAATGCACTAAATCAGCAGCAGCCCCATGGTGAGGCACTGGAACAGGTTGCCGATAGAAGCTGGGGATGCCCCATCCCTGGAACTGTTCAAGGTCAGGTTGAATGGGGCTTGGTGCAACTTGGTCTGATAGAAGGTGTTCCTGCCCACACCAGGTGGGTTGGAATGAGATGATCTTTAAGTTCCTTCCCAACTCAAACCATTCTATGAATCTGTGACTCTCATCTCTCCTCTGTCCCATGGTAACAAAAGCTACAGACTAATCCCTGTGTAAATAATTGCAGATTTCTGATCAGAGGTTTTGCTCTGAAGAAGGTGCCCTGACCACTGGAGCAGTGTGATCCTTGGCATATGTAACACTGCATCCTGAACTTGGCC